TCGATAGCGGATACTCCAAGCACATGACCAGAGACGCATCCAAATTTAGAAGTTTAGAGTACTTCAAAGGTGGCAATGTCGTTTTTGGCGACAACAACAAAGGAAGGATCGTTGGAAGTGCACTACGTCAAAAACAGATGCTGACAACTGTTTCTTTTAGTAGTCTCACGATGCTGATTTTAGTAGTCTTCCGAGCAGCTGTCTGATATATTTACAGACTATTGTTTAAAAACAATTGTGTAAAATGGTTGACGATACCTGTTTTGTAATGTTTTAGAGTACGAATTTTTAGTGTTGTCCTTGTATGAGTAAGACATCTGTTTTTTAGAGTTAAAGAAAACTGTGATTTTTTGTTGTCTCTATAATGAATACTATTGTTGTTTTTAACTTTAGACTCCTAATTCTTGGTGTTGTCGTTCAACAATATAGACATCTACTTTAAAAAGTAATTGAAAGATATATCAGACTACTGCTCAGAAGACTACTAAACAATAATAGCATTAGACAACTGTTATCATTTGTTGTATTTCTAGAATATGGACTACTAACATTATTCTTATTCAAACTACTGTTTGTTTTAGTTGTATATTGAATATTAACCCAACGATGTTTTGTAGTTTTCCTTGAAGTATTCAAATTACCTTTTGTGACAGTAGTTGAATTGTTTATCAAACAGTTACTCTAAAGATTACTAAAGATATTTGCCTCAGACAACTATTATTTCACGTTGTATTTTAAAAATATGAACAACTATTTTTGTAGTATTTCAAACAACTGTTTGTTTTGATCATCTAAATGTTATTAACACCACAGGTTTGTGTAGTTGTACATATACTTTTCAAACTATTAGTTTGAATGATAGTTGAATTTTTTATTAGATATCTGTTATCTTGTGTTGATTACCAAATAAATATAAATTCAAAAATACAATATATTGAACAATATATAAATTCTTACATTTAAAATATTATTAACATCTAATATTTGCATTATCTTCCCTACAATTTGCATATTCTACGTGCATGCCTCTTCAATCCATCATATTCCTATGATACAAGTTGTTGATCCTACAGAGGAACAAGTGAGGAACCCAATCTTTGAAAATCTTCGTGGATTGAACTTAAATCTTCCACCTTCCAGCAGAAACCCAATAACTCCTAAAATGATTGTTGTGAATCAAAAACCAATTATTGGAGACAGCCACCTAGAACGTGCGTTTGAAACATATAACTCAGTCAAGTTACACAATAAAAACTTATTTTGATATAATGAATGAATGTAACAGGAGCAATGATCTACACAACAGGGAGTTACAAAAAAAAACAAATTACATCGGAGAAAAAAATAAGTGGCAACAAAAACCCCATATATATATATATATATATATATATATATATATATATATATATATATATATATATATATATATATATATATATATATATATATGTTCGTTGTCAAATTAACAGGACCCTACAAACCTGGTGTTGGGCAAACAATGAAGATAGAACTACTCTCTATTTAAATCCTATTACTTGTTTTGGTCTGCATTGTATCAACTCGGGTAAAGCTACCTAGAGCTTTCACCCTTGGCCTTTGTATGTTCCTTTCTTCCTTTTTTTCAATAAAAAGTCTTTAATACACACACACACACACACACACACATACACATACATACATACAGAGAGAGAGGGGGAGAGGGGGAGAGAGACGAAGAGTATATTGCAGTGGAAGAACAGAACAAGAACAACACACTTAGAAAATGGTGATCTGGTTTAGTAATACTCTGTAGAAAAATCCAATACGAATCCGTATTTCACGTCGGCTTTGGCCAGGCGTTCCATGGCGGTGTTGACATAGTCCATCGCCACAATCTCAACATCGGGCGTGATGTTATGTTGGCTAAGAAGTTCAGCATTTCTTGAGTCTCCTTTATTCCACCGATGCCACTTCTTGCAACCAGTTTTCTGCCTGTGATCCACAATCAAAACATGAAATTAATGTCATTTAGTTCATTTTAGATCAACGCCAAGGCGGAGCAGAGATATGTACAACACGTGAATGGAAGTGTGGCTAAAATATTACATATCCATGATCAAGGGAAATGCCGACAAGTCAAGGGGTTTCTCCAGGAGACCAACCAATACAAGCTTACCATTGGTCTTCAATAAGCTTACCATTGCTTTTTGTTAGCAGAGGTGCTGATGACACTAACCCGAAAGCCTTGGCGTACTTGACAACCATATGACCAATACCACCCAGTCCCACAACTCGAGTGTACAAACAAACAAACAAGGACAAAGGATAAAGAAAATAAAGTGAACATAATATCCATACACCATTAATATCCATGATATGAATACAAAATTCACCCCCAAAAAACTAAATCAAGAACTATCTTTAATTTAAGAAAGTCTATCTTTGAACCATAGCTATATATATGGAGTGTGAAATAGAGGAGCAACCCAAATTTTGCCTTCCTTCCAATGCATTTGTTAGTTTGAATTTTTCAAATCAAACTTGATCAATTCTAATCATCAATTACTTTACATTTACATTGCATATTAAAGCAATGAAATCAAAATTTTAATATTCTCAACAAGATAAATATAATGGAATACTACGTACTCTGTAATTTTTAATTTTTATACTAATATACATCATTTGTGCTAACTTCTCTCTCAAGAACTCAAATTCATGATTCTATTTATAATAAAAAAATTATGTATGACTCATTTAACTCGATTAAACAGTTTCAGTCTCAAGAAAACAAATCAATGGAAGACAAAGTGATTAATTATTTGATGCAATTTTGAGAAAACAAGTGATGCTTAAGAGACTAACTCAAAAAAAAAAAATTAAACAAAAATGATCGAGTGATGCTAATAAAAAAATCTAACCGGCGTGATGATCATGATACTCCAATAGAGGCGGCGTGATGATCATGCTAATAAAAAAAACTAATCGCCGTCGTCTCCAACTCGCCAACCCGATTGGGGAAGGTTGGAGAATGTGGCCAGGGAAGTCTCGCCGGAAGGACCTTCCCTCGTCGCTGATTGTTGATTCCAGTCTTTCGATCGAAGGGGTGGCCGGTCGCATCCTTGCTCTGTCGCTGGTCGTCCTCGCCGTGGATGTTCGTTGGTCTAGTGGTGTCGCTGGCCGGCGCTATTGTCGGCCTTCTTGCCGTTGTCACCGCTCGAAGAAGAAGACCGCTCGAAGAAAGATAGAAGAAGAGAGGAGGCGGCGGGCAGTCTTCGATCATCTAAGAGAAGGAAACAAGCGAATTTCCTTTTTATATGTCTAGCGTTTTCTACTCCTTAACCCGAAAACACACTTTTCAGGCTAACATTCTCCGAATTAAGATCTGTTTGCTTCGTTGGATTTGATTAGTCGATCCTTACCCAACGATATAACTTTTATAATAAATCAACAAGAATTTACAAGTTTCACCTGGTCCGTCTTGATTCTTTCGATTGATTAACACTGATTTGTCTTTTAATTTAAATATTTAAAAATACAACCAGATTAGTCTCGTTTTATTGAGACGATTAGAATCTCTAAAGTATCTTATAATCCTTTAAACGATTAGATTATCGTAAATAGATAATTCTTATTTATTTAATTATTGATTAACTTCTAAGCCGGTTTCTAGGGCGTTACATCGTAGGTGTTGATTAACTCTCATACGATGTCAAAAATATTCCATCTTTTAAAATAATTTTATTTACAAATTTGTATTATAAATAAAAATACAAATTATAAATTAATAAAATCTATTTACTTGTATAGGTTGTGTCCTATTTGTCTGATCTAATCTTTAAATGCATCAGATCGGACATAATTAGATCGAATCAGACAAAAACAGATCTAATCGAATCAAATCAAATTCAAATCCAAGAAGATCAGATCTAATCTTTCAAGAAAATCTATTCACTTGTATAGGTTGTGTCCTATTTGCGTGATCTAATCTTTAAACGCATTAAATCGGACCTAATTAGATCGAATAAGAACAAAACAGATCTAATCGGATCAAATCAAATTCAAATCCAATAAGATCATATCAAAACTTCAAGGAAATGTATTCACTTATATAGGTTGTGTCCTATATTTGCTTGATCCAGTCTTTAAATGCATTAGATTAGATCTAATTAGATCGAATCAGACCAAAATAGATCTAACCGGATCGAATCAAATTCAAATCCAATAAGATCAGATCAAATCTTCAAAGAAGATCTATTCACTTGTGTAGGTTGTGTCCTATTTGCCTCATATAATCTTTAAATGCATTAGATCGGACCTAATTAGATCGAATCATACCAAAACAGATCTAATTGAATCAAATCAAATTCAAATCCAATGTGATCAGATCAGAATTATTCAAAGAAAATCTATTCAATTGTATAGGTTATGTCCAATTTGCCTGATCTAATCTTTAAACGCATTAAATCGAACCTAATTAGATCGAATTAGACCAAAAAAGTTCTAATCTGATCGAATCAAATTCGAATATAATAAGATCAGATCAAATCTTTAAAGAAGATCTATTTACTTGTATACGTTGTGTATTATTTTCCTGGTGTAATCTTTTTTAGATCGGACAAAAACAGATCTAATCGGATCAATTCAAAATAGAAACCAATATGATCAGATTGGACCCAATTAGATCAAATTAGACCAAAACAAATTTAATTGAATCCAATGAAATTCAAATTCAATAATATCAGATCAAATCTTCAAAGAAGATCTATTCACTTGTGTAGGTTGTGTCCTATTTGCCTTATATAACCGGATCGAAACAATATCGAACCTGTATTTTTGCATACCCCCAATTGAAACTGGTACATAAGAGAGAAAATTTATGGACCAAAAAACTTTTTGTTTCAAAAATCAGATTGTTGCTTCTAAAAATGTTCAAGTTCATCTCAAATTTTAGAATCCCTCCCGATTTTTCATTGCCCGCCTAATATGTGCCCAGAATTTCCCAATTAGGTCTACGCGGCCTAATATCCCCTCCACCTAGGGCACTATGATGATATCTCTGCTCTCTCAACCATCTCTGCCGGACCATCTCTGCTAGCTCTCTCTCAATTGTCGGATCGCGTATGTCATCTTCGGCAAAGAAAAGAGGCACCAGCGATATTGATAATAGTGGCAACCTTCGTGGAACAATATGAACAGGGTCGGCGACTTCATCACCCCCTTCGTTGATGAACAACAACGACACTCGCCGTTGTCTTGCTCTGCTTCTGGTACAAACATCTGGTGTAGTAATTCTATTAATTTTGTTCCTAGACGTGATTGGTCAGATTTTCATTCTAAATTTATTTCTTCAAGTCTTTAGTTTTATGAATTTTGGATCAGTTTGGAAAGATTGAGTGCTTAATAATAAATTTAGGAAAGGATTATAGTCGGTGGGGCCTTGACTGTGCTGCTATCTTCTCTAGCAGAAAGGGGTCTGTGGGTTGGAATTTCGGGCTGATTGGTCGATCAGGACTTTAGGGTCGGTTTGGGGCTAGCCACCCCTAAGTAGAACTACCACAACCATGAGGCCGGGTAATGGAGGGTTTCACTTAGGCTGTGAGTTGGGCAAAAGGGTGGGCAGGGCAAGGTTGGTTGGGGTTTAGGCCAAGTTTTCATTCAACCATTTGTTTCGTGGACCACATTTTCATGGACACCATTTGTTTCGTTATTGATGGCTTCCCATTTTGATTTTGGGATTGATTTGCTAATTAAAGATATGGTTCTTGATGTGGCACATTGTATATGCTCTATGGTCTTCACTATTAGAGTGCTTACCACTGACTTATGCTTAATATTTTGATTTATGATGCTGCTGTTTGATGTTATAGGTTGGCATGAGATGCACACATATATTGTTGGTGCTAAATTTAAAAATCACTAATGATGGTCTTTGAAGTGTTTGAACAGGTTTTGGTGATGACACAAGAGGTAAGTCGTTCTATTAACCTTGCTGAATTTATGGATGGTGCTGAATTTGAATGTTGAATCAGTACCTTTGGCTTTGGAATTTTACTCTCTTTTGGGTTTGTGTTGGTGTTAGGTGGAGTGCAAGTCATCAGATCAGCCCAAAGGGAGGATGCATTCACACAAAAAAGTCCAAGTACGCTCTAGTAAAAGTTAACTTAAAGCATTATTTGGTTTTGTTTGGTTATCAATTAATCCTTTGTGTAGAAACTTGATGATGATAGTGTGCATGAACATCTCCCCTCCTCACCCACTCATACTTCACTTTTTACTTTGCACACTAGACCACACGTCGAACTTTGGCTTTCAACATATACATCATTTTTGACTTTTTGAGGCATGTCTTAGAAGCTGACTTTCATGTTTCTGCTGGTATATGGATATGTTCAGATAGGAGTATGGGTTTGGGCGATTCAGAATTCAGCATGTGAGTATCGATATATGAAATACTTTTATTGGCTTGCAAGTTTAATATGCTAGTTCTATATGGAAGAATTTTTTACACAAACTTCTATATGGATGTGCACAAATTGATGCTACTAATATACTGCAATAAATTGATTACAATAGATTGATTCTATCTTGGGTATTTACTTTGGGTGGTTCTTACTCTTTTTTGTAAATATAGATGAGTTTAAACTGAAGCTAGTAAAGCCTCTAGTCTGATACTACTAAAGCCTCTGGTCACCTGCTGTTTTATAGGTATGGACCATGGTTTACGTACTGCTCATGCTAATTTGAAGGCAGTAGCAAGTGACATGAACTCTGCTTTTTGGCAGCAGATCTTAGAAGAGTGATATTCTGCAGATGATTTCAACACAGGCAGACAAGGCTTGATATTTGGCTATCTGAGACTTATTTTATAGGTAATTTACCTATATAGGACTAAAACATAATGACTTTCTCAATATAGGACCATATGTTTTTATTTCCCAATGTAGGACCATTGGTCATTATCTATTAGTCATTATTCAACTAAATGTCTAGCATCACTTGGACATTATTCTCACTAGTCATTATTAAGTCCTATTTAGGGAATAAAAAAGTTTAAGTCCTACATTGGGAAATAAATTATGTTTTAATCCTATTCAGTGCAAATTTTACATATTTTATCAAGCTAGATTATGTTAATCCTTGTGAAGCTTATTACGATGTGTGGTTTTAGGCGTGGTTTTTGCATCTTATCTAAGTTCTTTATTAAACTCATTTGACTAGTTTTTGAGAGTTTGGAAAGGTTGTTTCAGTCCATGATGTTGAGTTTTAAGTTGGGGTATAATATTGACTTTGATTTTTGCCTTATATTTTGAGGGGCATTGGCTTGATCCTCCCCTCTTGTAATTGTTTTGCTTTCTTTTTATCAATAAATTTGACTCTCTCTCTATACATACATACACACACACACAGATATATATATATATATATATATATATATATATATATATATATATATATATATATATATATATATATATATATATATATATATATATATATATATATATATATATATATATATATATATATATATATATATATATATATATATATATATATGCAATGTATTTAAGCCCATACAACTATTTTATTATTTTAAAAACATGATATTCTCTGCACTTGTATGTGGTGTATTAAGAACACATGTAAGTGTTACAAAATAAAATATTAGCCACATATATTAGTGTGGTTAATTATATTCATTAGCCACACTTATTTTAAAGTGCGGCAAAAAATTCCCCACATTTACGTAGCCGCACTTAGGTCATGTGTGGCAAATCATTTTTTCCACATTTATAAGTGTGGCGAATAACCATTTTAAGTGCGGTGAAGTACCAAATTTCATGTAGTGGTTCTAGGCTTAATAGTCTAACTATTGTTTAAAAAAAGGTATTCTTAATTTATTATAGACAACTTGTAATAGATTACGGTTTCTATGAATTTCAAAAATAGTTGTACGCTATATAAATACACTACTGTTACAAGGGTGTCCTCTATTCTTATAATAAACAATTCTGGAAAAAAATATATATGAAACATACAACTAACAATAGATTACTATTTCTTATAAGTTTAAAAACAGTTATACATGGGGGAACCAGACTTCTGTTAAGAAATAGTAGTCTTAACTAATTATAGACAACTGTGGCAATAAAAACTGTATTTTTTATGAAACCGACTACTAATAATAGATTACCGTTTCTCACAACTTCAAAAATAGTTTTACCCTTAATTCATAGACTATTGTTACAAAAGAGTCTTCTATTCCTATTATAAACAACAATGGCAAAAAAACCATATGAAACAGACAACAAGCAATAGATAACTGTTTCTAATAAGTTTAAAAACAGTTCTAGACTAAAAACCCAGACTATTGTTTAAAAACCGTATTTTGAATTGATACAAACAACTAATGATACATTACCGTTTCTCGGAACTTTAAAAATAGTTTTAAAGTATAGCAGCTAGACTACCGTTCTATAGCCAAGAAAAACTTACAGTAGTTTGTTTTTTCAACTACTGTGTTTCCATAAACAGTTGTTAATCAACAGTCGTCTGATATTGTTTTTGGCGTAGTGGTGGCACTGTCGGAAGAGACAATGCTACAATCGTTGAGAACGTTCTTCTTGTTGAGGGCCTCAAGCACAATCTTCTTATGATTAGCCAATTATGTGATAGAGGTAATCGTGTCATCTTTGCTTCTAGTAAATGCATTGTAGAATGCTTGTGTGACAATAAGGTTATTCTTTGTGGTAATAGGGTAGATAACATTTATATGTTTGATCTTGAAAATTATCCATCTACCTTAGTTAAGTGCATTATTACTAAAGAGGAGGAAACGTGGCTATGCCATCGTTAGATAGCTCACGTTAACATGGACCATCTTAACAAATTGGTCTCTAAGAACTTAGTAATTGGTTTTCCTAAACTTAAGTTTGAGAAGAATCTAATTTGTGATGCATGTCAAAAGGGGAAGCAAGTAAGGGCTTCGTTTAAGTCAAAGAACGTAGTTTCTACGACAAGGCCTTTACAACTTTTACACATGGACCTTTTTGGACGTTCAAGAACTATGAGTTAAGGAGGCAATTACTTTGGCTTTGTTATCATTGATGACTATTCGAGGTATACACGGATACTTTTCTTGGCTCATAAGTATGATGCACTTAATGTTTTTAAGAAATTCATTAAATTGGTTCAAAATGAAAAAGATTGTCATATAGCATCCATTAGAAGTGATCATAAGGGAGAATTCGATCAAGATGGCTTTGACGCTTTATGTGACGAATTAGGCATTGAGCATAACTTCTCGGCCCCACGTACACCACAACAAAATGGAGTGGTTGAACGGAAAAATAGGTCTCTTGAAGAGATGGCTAGAACTATGCTCAATGAGGCAAATCTCCTTAAATATTTTTGGGCGGATGCCGTGAGTACCGCATGCTATGTGTTAAACCGAGCTATCATTAGACCGATACTCAAGAAAATGCCCTCCCTACGAGCTTTACAAGGGGAGAAAGCCTAACCTTTCCTATTTTCATGTCTTTGGATGTAAAGTTTTTATTCATAATAATGGAAAAGATAACTTGGGAAAATTCGTTTCTAAGCCGAATGAAGGAATTTTCTTAGGTTATTCATTGCGTAGTAGATCATGTAGAGTGTTCAACAAGCATACTAAGACCGTAGAAGAATCTATTCATGTTGTTTTCAATGAATTTGATGCTCGCTTGGCGAGAAAAGGTGTTATTGAAAATGTTGCAGGTTCTTATGACAAAGAAGAAGAAATCGTCAAGGAAAAGGAACCATAGGAAGAGAAAACGCAAGAGGAAACGTGATTTCCCTAAGAAATGGAGAACGCTAAAGGATCACCCGATTGAAAACGTCATTGGTGACATAAGGCAGGGAGTATCCACTTCTAATTCTCTTAGGGACACAATTAATCACATGGCCTTTGTTTCACAAATTGAACCAACAACTATTTTGGACGCTATTAATGATGAACATTGGTCTATAAGAGCATCCACAGTGGCAACATCTCTTATTGGATGCCCAAGTGTGGGCTCCACTATAAAGATGTCATCTAGCACCTCTCTCAACATTCCATTCTTTCAATGGTAGCAACTCATTTGGATGCCTAAATATCTATTCCATTAATATAGTGGGTCCACTAAAATATATTTAAATTCTATTTTTTGTTAATTGTAAGTATTTAGTTTTATAATAAATTACGGAGTATTAATTATACGAAACTTGAAAATAAAACCTCACAATGTTATATTGAAAAAAACTACTCTTTATATTTTAAAACTAGCTTGTTGTCACCTCAATTGCAACTAGTTGGGAGTGGTGGTGTTCTGGTTGATAGAAATAATTCCATAAATATTTATTAAAAAAATTTTTATTAAAAAAGTAGTAACTCAATGAAGAAGTTTTCCTCAAAACCCATTGCGATCAAGAATACAAAATAACTAAGAAAATCACATAAGAAAGCAAGCTGGATAGGTTCTCCCCTTACATGAATAACTATTTGGATGCAAATCCATTTTTTTAAGAAAAAAATCCTAATTTGCAGCTATTTGTAAAGAAAACATTTGCTTAAAATATTTATTGAAATTTCAAAAAAATATCCGTTGAAAAAGTATTAAAAAAAAGCCATTTAAGAAAATTTCCATAAAAAAGAATTGACTATATATATGTGACATATGACACATAATCATTGGACCACAAAACTATAGAAATAAATGCATTAAATCTTTTCCCCCTCAAGCATCGGTGCTAGGTGAAGCATCCTCCTTTCTTTGTCTTCCTTGGACATCTCTAATGGACACTCACCTACAATAATGGCATCCATCAACATCTCACCCTCTCTCCTCGTAGCATCTATTGTGGGCATCCCATTGCAGATGCTCTAACAATGCAAGAGGAGCTTAACACATTCAAACACAATGATGTTTGGGAGTTAGTGCCTAGACCTAATGATCATTCCGTTATTGGCCCAAAATGGGTGTTCCGTAACAAACTCGATGAAAATGGAATAATGTAATGCCCTAAAAAACGGTCTAGAAGTTAATCGATAATTGAATAAATAAGAATTATTTATTTACGACAATTTATTCTTTTAAAGATTTAAAAGATACTTTGGAGATTCTAATCGTCTCAATATAACGTGACTAATCTGATTGCAATTATAAAGATTTAAATTAAAAAACTATTCTGTATTAATTAATAGAAAGAATTAAGACGGACCAGATGGAACTGGTAAATGTTCATTGATTGATTATAAAGGTTATATCGTTGGGTAGGGATCGATGAATCGAATCCAACAACACAAACGGATCTAAATCGGAGCAAGTTGATCCGAAAAGTGTGTTTTTACTCGGACAAGTGTGTTTTTACGTGATCGCCTCTTTCTTCTACGATTGGATGAGAGCGCAGCGCCTCCCTCTTCTTCGATCCACAACACGCGATGACACCAACGGCGAGGGACGCTGACCATACCAATGCCGGCAACCATGGTGACGGCGTGAGCGAATTCAAGCGCCGACCCCCTGTTTCTTCTCTGGTCAAGCACAGCGGCGACACCACGACATAATCTATGAGGGCAAGGCAACGACGAGGAGCAGTGCCAGCCTCCATCCTCTCCTGGCAATTGTGGCGAAGTTGATGGAAAATGGCGATGGGGAGGTGACGTCTGGCGACTGTGACGGACCAGTCCTCTCCGAAGACCGCTCTCCCTACTCTGGTGATCTCTGCGATGGTGGTGACCGGATTGGCAAATCAGCAACCTCCATGCTCCGGTGACGGAGTTTGGGCAGCGGGTAGTTCTGTTCAGTAAAAATTAAACTAGCAACGGGATTGACCCCGATGTTTTCCAGTGACCTCTGTTAGCAGCGACAGTAGTCCCGCGAGGGGTCCTATGGCAGCGGCATCCGGGCAGCAGGGAATCAGGGTAACAGGCTGAGTTTGGACAACGAATAGGTTTGGACAACGGCGACGATGGTGTCGTGGCAGCCTGACAATCAATTCCGGTGGCGGTACATAGACGACTCTCTCTTTTAGATTGAACCGAAACAAATCGAGGTGAGTACATGGACATCTAATATTAGAATATGCATCTAGGTTTGAAATTCCGTTCATGATTGTTATTGTGGTTGATTTATGTGATTTATCTCTGTGATTTCGGGATTTGTTGTCATTGAATCGAAAAAGGGTAGTATGCATGATTTAGGTGTTGATTGACGGATTAATGTACTTGATAGTGTTTGAAATGGTAATATGAACCTATTGTTGTCTGTTGATATGAGATCATCATTGGTTTGATGATGAAAGACGAAACAAGTAAAAAGCTAAAAATTGTTGTGTCAGACGGTAGGCGGTTCCGCCAGGACGATACCGTGCTACCATCACACTCTGTTGGTTTTGTTCTCCTCTGACGGTAGCTGTGACCGTTCGCTACTTAGGTACCGGACGGGCGATAGGCCATACTGCCCAATTGATAGTCGACTACCGTGATAGCCCCACTGAAAGAGACCAGATGGTTCGGTCGGTACCCCCGGTACTGTAGGACCAGTACCCAGGTACCGTGAGGATGGTGCCCCGTGTAACACCCCAACCCGCGTGACCCAAACCAACGAGTTAGTGAATTTTCTACTAAATTGACATCAAACACAATACTTTTCAAAACAAATTAAAACATTTAACTCAAAACATTATTTATAAATTCATCGGAGTTAACAAAACGGTGCGGAAGCCTTTAAGTACTTAATCAAAATAAAACTTGGGTTCTTGCCCTTAAAAACATTAATGAACTTAAATGCAATAATTAAACTAGATAACTCCTCCAGCCAGCATCCATCCACTTCTCTGCCCTCGCTGCCCTCTAGGGTAGTTTCTTATTCATCATTCATGTTACGTACGTGTAGCAAATAGAACAAAGGGCTACATGCTCAGCATTGAAGCTAAGTGAGAAATTAACGTTTCGACTATGCACATAGACGAACCTACTAGCTCATAACTTCCTACAATATCATGCACACAAGTATACAGTATAATATCACATAACAGTCATTAAATAAATTCACAAGTCACAAATTATTACCCTATTTCCTTTTTGTCTTTAACTCATAACTTAAGTGCCAAGCTAGAACCATACTTCCCTATTTACAACCTTATTTAATACCTTATGACACAACACAACCTGATGACCAACGAAGGAGTTCTCCGCTGGGTGGGTGGTACCCCTGTCCCCTTCGGAACGACAGTTTGTGGATCCCGTACGTACGTTATAACCCGCGACCATCAGATATCAGATCCGCAAGGCCGATTCTACCTATTGACATTTATACTTACAATCTTACTAAATCAGTCCTAGAGTTCTCTAGGTAACTTAACCATTTATTTACAACGTCTCTACCATTCACGCTTATTCCAACATAAATCTCAATTCCTTGTTTATTTTTAAAACCCCACAAGAATATATTTAATTGTAACAGGAAAGTTACAATAATCAGGTAATCATCCAAGTAACTCATTTAGAGGCCTAGTGTCAGGTGTAAACACCTTCCACTTACCGTCATGCAAATCACATAATTTAGAGTAAGAAAACATACCTGATCATCCTTGTTCAATCAATTCCAATATCATCATATAATATAAATTAATCATAATTTTATTATAAACAAATTAACCACGTAATCAATCATACGGAACTACGAACGTGAATTTCAAATCCATGTACATAATCTAGTGTTAGATGCCCACGTACTCTCCTTGATTATCTGACGAATTAAACAGATTAAAGCAATGGATCAAACAATGGTGGGGAAACAAAAAGTGGTGCCGTCTCTGCTCCGTCCGATCGGATTACAGAGCAATAGTGCAGCTATGTTCTTCCTTCTTCTCCACCGGTAAAACTCCGTAATTAATACTCCCAACCGTCCCAGGAATGCTTCGTCTCTTCTCTTTGTTTTTTTCCATCTTGTGTGTGTGCGTAGTGCGTACATTATATATATAGGATATGGGGGGTTTTGGGTGGGCTTCTCATACGTGGTAGTTTAGGTATAGATTTAGGAAATTGTGTTATTATTTTATTATAATTAGAGTAAATTCCATAAAAGGTCCCTGGTTATAGGTCGTTTTACATATTTAGTCCCTACATATCAAATATTACTAATTTAGTCTCCTATTATTATATTCATTTCTACGAATGGTCCTTTGTTAACATTTCCGTTAAGAACGTGGATAAAATTATAAATTTACACTCCTCTCTCTCCTCTCGTACTCTTTTCCAAAATCTTCGGTGAGTTTGAAGTTCTTAACCCAAAACTGAAATGATCATTCCTTTCTCAATTATTAGTCATCCTGGTGGAACCTAAAATCAAAACCAATAAGCTTTATGGATGAGTTTTATCGATTAGTCTCAAGATTATTGCAAAGAAAATAAACATTAAAACACTGGTTTCAAATTTGGGTTCCACCAGTACGACAAACAATTGAGAGAAGAGTGATGATTTCGGTTTTGGGTTTAAAGCTTTAGTGACGGATTTGGGAAAGGAGTGGGAGGGGAGGGAAAAGCTTAATTGAGGAGAGAAGGGAGTGTGAATTTACAATTTTATCCACGTTCTTAACGGAAATGTTAACAAAGGACAATTCGTGGAAATGAATATAATAATTGAGGACTAAATTAGTAATATTTGGTATGTAGGGACTAAATATGTAAAACAACCTATAACTGGGGACCTTTTATGGAATTTACTCTTATAATTATTATAAAATCTTCATATTTATTATTTGAATTATGACTCTATTTTACTTGCCACGCTTTACACATAAGTCCAAATTTGACAAACAATATACCGTTGGTCATCATTTCACGAGACCTATCCGGAAATCTAATTTTTATTCAAAACGGACAACTTTATAAATAACTCATATTTTTGAGTAAATAAATATTATATTTATTTTTTATTAAAATAACGACTAACTACTAAGCCGGTTTTTGAGTCGTTACACCCCGTACCGTGGCAGGTACCGTCTGGTACCTAATGCCGGGTCTGTTGATCGGTGTTTTCGTTAAGGATTGATTCTGAGACTCCATGTGAGCATGACGGTAATCGGTGAGAAGTGATTCCTTGGATAGGCCGCTGAGTGTGTTGCTCTATTTATGGAAATGTTTAAGTGTTTGTTATCACTTGAGAACTCTGTTGAAATTGGCCACGTAGTATACCTAGGCGGATCTGAACTGAATTGGATAGTTTAATTACCAATAGGACTGTTGTAGTTTCGGGCCTTGTGGAGCATGTTTGCACATCTAGTAGTCCAGGGTTCAAAACGTACGTACGAGAGTCTTTGTTCTACCTAAGGGATTCCATGATAGAGACTCCAACCGCCCATTGAGGATTCTCTTTGGGTTTGTCCGAGCATCGGCCTCGAGGGATCTGTTGGAGCGTCCATAACTCTAGTCTGTTGATTTAAGCCTTAGTGTTGTAGGGACAAACTTAGCCC